CGAATAACACCTTCTAACAGTAGTATGAGCTAATTTAGACAATGCTGGATTATTCACAACGTCCATCCAGTGTTGAAACATAATCGCACCATGAGAAAACATGTGGAACCTCACATCCGGATTCCCATTACGATTTTCGCACGACGAAAATGCACGCTTTTTATAATAAAGTCAGTGGTATCTTTTCCTCTAGTTATCTATATTTTTTAGCACAACATAGTATGAACAACAAACTATGAAACAATCACAAGATCACTAGCAAAATCGAGTCCAACACGTGTTCTGCAAGCATTGCAATGCAATGCAGCAAAATTCTTGTTATATGGCAACTGCTGATCATACATAAAGACGTGCTACTGATTACAGTGATGATTAACGACAGCCACATGGCGAGTTTCATTTTTCTTCCCGCCAACAACGCGCCTCTTGCATTTGTTTACCGAACTAATTTTGTGGTCAAGGCTATCCCATTGAGTTGTCATGGGGGTGATGTTCACTCATATTGCCATGCGCGTACTCATGTTTTTGGGATCGCAGCCCCGCCATCTGTGACTGGTTTGTTCAAGATAAATTGATTGAAGAGACAATTTTTACAGTTTCCACTTAAGGACATAAAAGAGACAATTTTATAGTTTCCACTTAAGGGCATAGATGATATGACATGACAGCGCATTTATAAAACGTGGGGATTTGCAATTTTTAGGTTACAACATAGATAAACCCGAGTCTAGATTATCCGTAAATCCCTAGCGTCTATCATAGATGTCGTTAGGAAATGAGCACTAATATTGCGTGCGACGATATGCGATCTTCAAAGCGGTAAGCTTCATCATTACTACAATTCTATACATGTGGATTGTTGGAGGAAACCCACATGGTGCTGCTTTTGTACATTTCTCGAAATCAAGTTAGAACGAAATAAAAGCAGAATATTTTCAGGTGTCTATTTGCTCAGAATCCCAAGTTGAGAATGGTTTGGATCAGACGGATTGGGTGTAACAAGTATTTTATAACTTTACATTTATTATGATTATACTTATCGTAGATTTTAGACTTTTCAACCCGATATCCTGGTACACAATTATATGTCGGTATATATTATTGTGATATTCATCCAACTACCTAAATATATATCTGCATTGATAACTGCACTTAATTAATTCATTTGTTGTTACATTGAAATATTTGTTTATTTTCTTAATCCTTGATTCATAACATGCTCATTTTGCTTTTTGATCAAAGGTTTGTGGTTTGTATAATAACACTTTGCACAAATTAATGGTACTTGGCGTTTCGCCTATTTATTTACTGCAATAAAAAATTTAAAATGCTTATGAAGTTTCTATTATCAACATATCCAAACACCAATCACTAATGTCTAAATATGTATCTGCTATTGTCGGCAACCCATTACTTTCATTGGAATTAAGATATGTTTAATATTCAATTTGATATATTTGTTTATAAATCAGAAACAAGTTTTGTCTCTGTACAAATATATCAAACTGAATATTAAACATATCTTAATTTCAATGAAAGTGATGGGTTGCCGACAATAGCAAGGATGCAAACCCTGAACAGTAGTAGCAGAGACGCAAACCACGCAAGAAGGACGTGGCGCAGTTGTGCCTGGGTCCATCATAGATGGCGGTAGGATAGACATTGTTTCCACATTGTGCAAGAGAGTTGGTAATCTATACTCGTCTTTATCTATAGGCATAACAGGCATCTACCTTACCCACTGCGCTTGGCAAGAAGTACGTCGCCTCTACAATCGGAACACGAGGAATATAGATTATTAATATATTGTATCATGGAATAAACCAGTGTTAGTAATGAGCTTTGTGTACTTTAATACGTATAGGTATTTCAAAAAGTCGATTTTACACAGAAATTGTCCCTATAAGTGAAACATCTAGTAAGTTTAGTCAAAAGATCATAAAAAAACTGTACCACTTTCCATATGAACTTTTTTTCCTAACTTGTCAAATAAAGCGTGGGGGCATAGTCAAACCGCTTAATTCAAAGAAACCTGTAACTCCAAAACGGCTTCACCGATTTCAAAGTTTTTACTATCAATTTAAAGAGCAATAGAAACTGCAATATGTGATATAACAGCAATCTTACTCATTTTCGAAAAATCCGCTGTCATTTCAAATGCTATACAAAATTTCAAATGCTACCATCAAATTATTTTACACGCATTCGAAAGCAAAGGAAAAAATGAAACAAACCGCAAAAACCGCATCTCAAAATAATTTCTGGAACCGACTGAATACTTGAAAATAATAAGGGTTGCCTAATTCAACTAATTAAAGAAAGAATTGTCCCTATAAGTGAAACATCTAGTAAGTTTGAAAATAGTGGGAACAATAAAACAACATTTTTTCTTCCAAAGCTTACTTTAATTACTTAAATTAGGCAACTTTTATTATTTTCAAGTATTAAATCAATTCCAGAAATTATTTTAAGATGCGGTTATTGCGGTTTACTTCATTTTTTATTTAAAATTTTTGTGAAAAATTAAAACAAAGTAATTTTTTCGAACATCCAATTTTTGGAAAATGAGTAAGATTGTTGTTATATCACATATTGTAGAGTTTTCATTGCTCTTTCAATTGATAGTAAATACTTGGAAATCCGTCAAGCCGTGTCGGAGTTACAGATTTCTTTGTATTAAGCAGTTTGACTCTCGCCCCACGCTTTATTTGAGAAGTTAGGAAAAAAGTTCATAAAGAAAGTAGTACGGCTTTTTATGATCTTTTGACTAAACTTACTAGATGTTTCACCTACAGAGACAATTTCTTTATAAAATGAACTTTTTAAAATACCGTTTGCAATTAGGCCATCTATTGGTGATCTGAAAAATTTCTAAATAATTTTTAGCAAATTCTTTTCTTCAAGTTTTTCATAAAAAAAAATTTCCGATCACTCTACGACACATACTTTCCAATATACAGCCGCTTACCATCCTTATTGCGACACCCTGTATATACCTATAAAATAGTCACCAATAAATCTATCTTTTTCTAAATCTTTTTGAAATTAATCACATTTGTTTTTGCTAAAAAGATTTAAAATGTTGTTTCTTTCTCATTGCTATAAGCATTAAATCTACCTAATTTACAAATTAGATATCTTCGGCTTGTAAGAAGCTTGAATTTTTATATCCTGAACGGCTGCCACAAGGTGGCGGGAGTGTCAGTCAGAAGTGCGTTCGGAGACCCAAATATTCGAAACGAATTCCGATTTGCGCACGCGTAGTGTGAAATGGTTTTTTTGAGTTCAAGTATTTTTTATATTTTTGGTTTTTCTTCAATGTCTTCATCCGCCATACGGTTAGTTCTCATTGCTGTTTTTGCAGTTTCCTAATGCTTCGTACGCTGCTTCGTGAGTATTTTATTTGTAGCATCATCAAGGCTTATTAAATTCATTTCTGTATCCAGAAACACCGGTCCCTTGCTAGTTAAGAGTTTGCAGACAACAACGACCAATCAACAGAAATGTTCCGCGTGTTATAAGAAATAAGAGAATGACCAAAAGAGAACCAAGCCAAATTTTGGTTTGATGACCAGGAAATGAATTTTGTATTAAAATGAGAAATATGGCAAAATGTTGATTCTAGGTTGTAAAACAAAGTCCTGAAAAAAGGTCCATAAAATATAACCACTTAGGAAAAGGTTTGGGTTAGTAACTCAAAAATAATGCTTTGCGAAAAGATGATAGTGTCCTTTATTAATATTCTGCATATGTGCAATTTTGAAATATTTATACCTTTTGTGCAATGTTTGCAAAACTCCAAATGAATTAGACTGGCCAGACTACGAGTTAGATAGAAATACTTCAAACTTAAAACATTTTCACGTTAACCTTTAATTATTTTCTGATAATCATTGACATACCATGCCTACCAGAGATATTAATCAGAAATTCTGCCGATCAGGGATTGGCTGGGGCGACCGGCAAGGTAATCGTTAAATAAAGAAAAGTCTTCGTTTCTCCGGTAGTTGGTACCCAGAGGTCGTTCTTATAAGGCAGGCTTATCAGTTCACATTCGCTATTTGAAAGACTAAAACCTACCAAATAGAAAATGAAACTTTTTGTGTTGGCTGTGATTGCCGCTTTGGCAGCTGGAGCAAGTAAGTAGAATTTCGATTCAGTAACATTTTCTACTTTCATTATTAAAGCGAAAGCATACGTTTAAGTTTCGCTTTAGATCTTGTATCGTGCAAAACCTGTTTAAGCATATTTCTGGTTAAGGCTAATAAAGTACGGTAGATTTAATTATATCTTTTAAAGATTAAAATGCTCACAAAAAGGAATAAACACGTTTGTACATTCTTTAAACCGATTCGGACAACGCGGAAAATTGGTGTTAACTGTTTTGCTTTATGTAAGCTATTTAATTAATCAATTTTATTTTTATTTTAAATTATTAAAGTATATGAAGGATTTTGAGAAATGTTTTCACAAATAACCGTTTGCTCTTCGATTTATTTTTGATATTATGTACACTTCATGTAGCTAGTAAATTTCCATTGAAATTAAAATTTACTACATCCATGTTTATGGAACAATTTTTTACAATTTAAATATTTCTTTCTTTTCACTGTAATTTAGACTGGTTTATCTTTGTGCTTCTCGGATCAAGTTTCAGATGGAGAAAAATAAAATGTAAATTCAATGATTAATGGGCAGTGATTTGATCAAACTATTTGTAATAATAAAGTTAAGAAAATGGGTTTAAAACGGACTAAAATAGTGCTTATTGCAAATAAACATTAATATTATTTAGGGATGAAACCTTCGATAAAACATAAAAAATAACTAGAGTTGTAGTGGTCTGGAGAAAATTTATTTTTGACCTGACACTCGTTTCGGTAGGAAAATAGTCAGGCGAAAAATAAAGATTTGACATACCAGTAAAAATGGGTTATTCGATTTTAGCAAGCATAAAGATACTAATACTTACATAAATTGCATAACCGCTGCGTTCGCACTGAAATTTTTCAGTGCGAGTCTCGCCATAAATTACACTTTTTTTTATTTACAGTAACTTCGGATATTTGAAATTTCGATATGCACATGTTTTTGTGCTCATATTAGTAAATTATCTCTATATGTTACATCTCACAGCTGCTGCCGATAATTAAACATAATACCAAATTATTTCTGCAATAGTTGCGTAACGAAACTCTCTAACCTTTTATTTAACTTCAATCACATGTATTAGCATACACTCTTTCAGCTCAATATTGAAATCATTGGAAAGTATTTCACGAATTGCATATGTATGAGACCCCGACTATTATAAAACAATCCCAATTATTAAATAACATTATTATGTTTCAATGAATATGTTAATTAGCAATTAAATTCAGCGACGTTTTTACGTTAAAGGACAATGATTTAGACTATTATCTTTATTCTAATTTCCAAATTATTGATGTGATTCCCACTCGTTCACATGGCATTAATAATTTTAAGAATTGTATAGATAACTGGAGAATGTTTATTATATAAGTTACTATTAACTGTGGAAATCTGAGTACTTCTATCTTGCAGGTTATACGCTTTTATTGATGGTTCGACCGAAGAGATTTTACGGTTTAATGTTGTTTCCTTTTTGCAATTTGCTAATAACAAGATTTTGACCGAACTGGCATCACAAATTCAGGTTCTGTTGAACATTTATTCAAAAACCAAAGGCATTGGCATGCCTAATGTGTGTATTATTAGTTACTAAACCTTTAACCTTCGGTTAATAGTTATAATTATTAGAATATAATAGAAAAGGACATGTTGTGAACAGTTATAAATTGGCCCTTGCTTTCAAAATATATCATTTTCATTCTTCAGTCAAGCGGAAAGTGATTGAAAAATTATATTTTGTTTATTTCACAGGAAACCGTTTTAGTTCCTTTATAGTAAAGGTATTTTTATATATAATTACATCAACAAAACAATATCACAATCGTAATGTTGCTTTGGACTGCCGAAATATGTACAGCAGTAAAAAATTTAGCCATCTTAAATCACGGATTAATTTGATAATCTTTTTCCCGTACGTAGCACATTTTTGTGTAAATCTGACAATATGCAACCATAAAAGACAATTGATGGTTCTATCCTTATTAGCCCGGATATTTGTTTGCTTTAACACCTACTTTATACTTAATCTTAACTTTTTCTTCATTTCAATGAGGCACAATGCCTGTTCTTCATCGTAACGAGCTTTATGGAGGTATAATGTCGCCATCGTTTTCTTGGCCTTCCTTTGCTTCGCCTTTTCGAAGTTGGTTTTTCTTTGGCAATTTTCACTATTCGTTCCTCTCTCATTCTTGTCTGATATCCGCGATTCTTTCCTTGTCCGACAGAGCTTTTCCAGCTATTCTTCGAACTGTCTTTATCTCTGTTGTTTCCATAATTTGCCTTGTTTGTTATGTTCTTTTGATGACCTTGTTCTTGTTTCTGCCACATATGGACCTAATAGCAGTTTTGTAAATACGGGCTTTTACTTATGTTTTAATGTGCCTGTTAGGAATAGAGGTGTGATAAATGGTTCTGTTTCTGTAACGGGTTACAACATTTCAGTTTTACAGTGGTAATAGGTTTGAAAATGCTGTTCCAAAAGGAGCATGCTACTTTTTAAATGTTTCATTAAAAATGCAAAATTTTGATGATAGTAGAAATATTGATGGTATTTAATGATTTCCTTTATTAAAAACATAATTCTTAGCATTGGTAAACTTAAAAGAAAATATTATAAAATTAAAAACAAAACATAGGTCCGAGGTCACTAATTGAAGAACAAAAAAACTGATAATAATAAAACTACAGTGATTAAATAAAATATACGGTTTATGTGCGAAAATGTTTAAAAATCTCATTTTGATTTAAACATGAATTAACATTTAAGAATACATTTTTTTGCAGATGCTTTTTACTAATTCTAGTTCTTCGTGCGTTTATGATAGCAGCCGCTTTAGAAAATAATCTCTCGCATTTCGTTTCAAAATAACATTAAATAATCCACAATAACAACAAACGGAGATGTGTGTTTGGCAAACCTGGACGAAGTATTACTCGAGTTAATTTTGGTACCACCAAAAAATAATTTAAAAAAATATGTCGACCTTACAACGTTTATTACTATTCAAATAACTTTTATTTCATCTCTGACTGAATTTATATTTGAAAATGGACTGCTTGCTTAAATGCAGGTGCATATTCTGCTTGAAACGTTTGTTATTTTACATTTCCACTGTGATAGAATTTGTGTCTTAGACTCTTAGTTTGCTCATAGCTCATATGCAAGTGCATACTCTGCTTAGTTTTATGAGACGGTTCCAAAAACAACGGTTTAAATCGACTTGCTGTAACTACGGTTTCAGGTTAGACGTTTGAAACACTGTTAGTTTAGCGGTTACGTTAAATACCGACAATCCCTAGTTAGGAATAATCTTAACTTCAAATATGTAATTACCCTACTGCATACATTGTTTCCAGAAATATGTGGTGGTTCTATTAGAAATCTTAAGGAGTAGCATTTTTGCATCTAAAATTGCTATTTACTTGAAAATACGTCGCCATAGTATTACTATTTATTTAGTAACAAGAACCGGTTTTGGAAATTATTGTGTTTTACTTAATAGTCATATTGCGCCATTACAAGCGAAAGACATGGCGTGATTCAATTAAACAGAAATTGTCACCACACCCATGTTAATGTCCGCTCGATTTCCAGCTACAAATTGTCTTTAACATTCATAAGAAGTGAACAAGTCTGAAGGTTATATTGAATGTTAAGCGGTTAGAAGAAATTAACATTTTTGTTTAAGGCCACTGCTTTCATTTCCCTTTGGTATTATAGCCATATGTCTTGAAGAACCGTGGATTTTAATGTTGCGCATGTAGTCATACCTGCATCTGGTATTACTAGACATTAACCGTGATAATTAAATATAGTCAGTGGCGTGCCGTCAGCACATTTACGGTCAGAAATAAATTATTTGTTTGTTTGGAATTAAGGACTGTTTCTTTTTATGCACAGACAATGTTTTACTTCTCTCGCAAAACATGTCGAATTTCTACTTTCCGTGCAATGTATTTTTGTCCACAAGCATTTAAAACTACATTAACACTTTCACCAGGTTTTGCAATATCAAGAAAAGGTTCAATAATTAATGAACTGTAAAATATCTAAATCATGTAATGTTATATGTAATTAAAATTACAGCTAACTGCAAATATCGGAAATTAACAAAGATTATTTTTCATTCGCCCACGTTTAATAGCAAATAGTGTGACTACATATCTGCCTGTTTCTCAATCAAATTCATATGAATTTCAACTCATTCAACTCATGTTAAATTAAATACGTCAATAGTTATGCGAACACGATAGTGCTTGGTATTCTTTAAGAAGGTAAAGAAAATGTTGAAGTGTATTATCCCAATAAGTGGGGTTCTAAATAAATTTAGTTTATACAGTAGTTATTTTTATACGATGTAATTTATCACTGTCTTGTCTTCATTTGTGCTTCCCAGAAATAATGTCCCGTCTCATTAAAAAATCACATATTTTCGTCAGAAATATATCAGTTGAGCCCGATAGTAACGTCAGTAAAATGTTATTTGGAAAATTTAAAATATTTTTTAAACTGTCCCTTATATGCCAAATTAATTTGGAACAATCTGTGTATAGCGGCTGCATCAGTATTTTAGATCTGAGCTCACTTTCTCTTTCATTACAATATAGGTCGAAACCAGTTCTAGGACCATTAACACTCAATTATGCAATTTGCAATGGAATGTTACGTATCACAAAATATTTTGCATTGTGTGGATAATTAAAGTCTAATTAATCAAATCGATTGTTTATGGCACATAGCTATGTGAGGAGTTTAAACAGGAGAATTAGTAAAACAAGCTAAACAATGCATCATTGGAGTCACTCAGGGATGTTAATGCTTAGTCGCAGAAACACATAAAGTAATGAAAATGTCGCTTCGAAAGGTCGGAATTTGAATTCGCTGTAACGAATTAAAATATCACGCACGCCAATGACCTTAAATATAAAGATGCTTATTTAACAATTCGATGAGCAGAACAAGTCGCCAGTTTCACGTTTCGAAATAGCCTTTCACTTTTACAATATTGCATAAAGATACCGGCATCTACGACGATTCTCGATTAAGCCGACTACTTTGCAGTTCTCGTACATTACTTTTTGCAACTACGTAAAAAGATAACCAATTAAAATTTTAAATTGGGTTTGTTTAATGTTCCACAGATTTCTAATAATAATTCATTCTTTCAGAGGGTATGTAATGCACCACGCTTTGTTGGCGATAAAATAATTTATTTTAATACATAAAACCAGATTCTTCCCTGTTAAAGGAAGAATCTTAACGAAGTAAAAAAAATATATATTTAATCCAGGATATAATATTAAAAGTCGATATTAAGATCGGATATATTGTTCCCTAAGGTGTGTTTTGTTACATAGTTTGACTCAAAATTTTCAGATTAAGACAAAAATATCAAAGATACGTCAATAGTTTTGCTGAAAATATATGTAGAATCTGCTTGATATTACTAATTCAGAAAGCCCGAGCGTAGGAACCGAAGGTATTTACAGTCACATATAAATGACCCAGAAAGAAGCTTGATTCTAATCACACCTAATACGTGTTATAATATACATAATTTAATAGTACGTTCAAAAAATATTTATTCGACAAATGGGTACCGTTATAACTAAACATGCATCTAAAATATCAATTGCGTTGAAGACAACCAAATGAAACTTTAATTATAAAATTTAATAAGTAAAACCAAACTTCTTTGACATCAAATTCCGCATTGTGTTTAAAGTAACAACGATTATTTTTTCAAAGAATACCTTTTGAATGGTGTTTTTTTATCGAATCTTTTAGTTATGTTTAACATCGTCTAGATAAAACAATACACAAAAGCAAGGAAAATATGCATATAAACATATTTCCCAAACATATTTTTTTCGGTTTATTAAATTTGTGAATTTTTACTGAAAGTTGTGTATTATTGTATATGTTGAGGAAATCTATAGTCGTCAAGCACCGTAATTCTTTTTATACATGATGATTCAAAAATGGGGTCATTCCTCTTGAGGTGTTGTCTGGGGGTGTTTTAGAAGTATGGAAAAAAATACTAAAAACAATTAATTTTTACTGAAAACTGAGAAATTTTGAAAAAGTAAGTCAGAAAGACGGCAATAATGTTTTTGCCTAAATAACAATTCGTAAATACCAGTCGCTTCGTAATTATTAAAAATTCTGTTAATCATGGAAAAACACCGCAAGTGACAGTATTATAGAAATGGATAAAAGAAGAACATAACTTTTTTAATATCGGAAATTTTCGTCATTTGAAGCGAACGTCGCAATTTTTTTTCAAATGCTTAAGTATTCCAATCAATATGCGACCAATGAGACCATTTGAAAATAAGGCTTAATAATAAAGTTGGTGCTTAGGGTATGCAAAATGTTTTTTTTTTTCGGACAATGCAGCTCTCGAATGGTTCGCACAAATCTAATTCTCGATAGGATATGCAGTATTTAACAGTTGTTAGAAAATAAGTCCGGGAACACTATGCCTTTCAATAGGCTATGCATTCAATAAAGAAATACGATAGTTTCAACTTATTGTTCACAAAAATGAATGTTTTAAATGTTCGAGTCGGTATTCGAAAGAATACAATGAGTCAGTTCAAGTCCAAGGGTGAATATCTGCAGAAATTTAGTATCGAACTTTTTTTCGAGTACCCAAATTGAAGCGAATCACATTGAAGCTATTATTTTTACTATTTTACCTATATTTTATAATCAGGTTTCTGGCAATCTTTTTACACTATTTAATGCTGATCATTATTGCAATTATGTATTCATTTATTTTTGAGAAATGACCGGTTCTCTGTATTGCATAAAGCTGGTATTATTTTCTAATAATTTTCTTGGTAAAATCGGTCATTTGTGACGAAACTGATACGCAGCCACTGTTACGATTTCACAGCCAAACTTCTTAGGAACGTTATTATTCTAAACTGCTTTATCATATTAGTTTAAAATGGAAAGTGACATTATATGTAAGTGTAACATGCTTGAAATGTTTTGCCGATTTTGTATTTTACAGCTGTCGACCTACTCGTGAGAATTGTTAATTTGTGTTACGTAAAAAGTTTCGTCTTATACAGGCAATCAATTACCGGACCGCAAATATAGGGCTTTAACGTATAATATCAATATATAACACTACCGTTTCTGTAAGTGCCTAAGATCTAAATAGACCATTTCTTCTTCAGATGCTCAAGGATACAAATGTCCACCTAAAGATGGCCAGTATGAGGATTCAAGGCAGTGCGACAAATACTACGAGTGCGTAGATGGTGAAGCAGTAGCAAAACTTTGTCCTGATGGACTTGTTTTCGATCCATTGATCAGGAAACGGAATAAGTGCGATCAACCCTTTAATGTCGACTGTGGGGACAGAACTGAATTGCGTAAGAAAATATTTTTACGAGACTCGAGAATGGTACAATTTATACTTTATTTGCAAACCAAAAGTTTGCGTAACATATCTGAAAACCATTTGCAATAACAGTAGATTGCGGTACGTTTGCGATTCACAATTTTAATTCAACATTGCCTATTTTACAAATAGAGACTCCACAACCTAAAGGACCATGCCCAAGGAGAAACGGCTTCTTTGCCCATGAAGATCCCACTGTTTGCAACAAATTCTACAACTGCATCGAGGGAGATTTTACTGAAACCACTTGCACTAATGGTCTTCATTTCGATGAATATTCTGGAACTTGTGTTTGGCCTGATTCTGCTGGAAGGCAGGGATGCAAAGAAACGTCAAGTACGTAGATGACCAATTGCTAATTGTAAGGGTACTAAGCTCGAAAATTTAATTATATGTATTTCCAGATATTTTGAAAGACGGTTTCCAATGTCCAAAAGACTCTCAGAAGGACGCCAATGGCGTCTTAGTAGTCCATCCTAAGTTTGCTCATCCCACTGACTGTCAAAGATTCTACGTATGTTTGAACGGCATCGAGCCTCGTGATTTGGGTTGTCAAGTAGGCGAAGTTTACAATGAAGAGTCGCAAAGGTGTGACGCCCCTGAAAACGTAGCTGGATGGTAAGTTTTGAATGTCTTGTTTGCAATAAATTTCTGAAAATTAAAGCAATTTATGTCAAGAGTAAATTCAAATGAGTACAACTTACTGGTCGGTAGATTGCAAATCGTTTTTTTTTTTCTCTTTTAGTGAGGATTGGTACAAAGACGACCCAGCAGCTTCATCTAAACCATCAAAGAAAGCCTGAACTCTTAGTGATATTAGCAACTATATATTTTTATATTTTATATAATAATTAATGTCTATTCGATTCTCTTAATTTATTTTACTTCATATTGATTGGTTTTACAACCTAGTTATCTGCAATCTATTCCATTTTCTAGATGTTCTCTCCTGATTTGCACATTTGCCTTACTTTTTGTTTCCATCTTTGATCCTGAGCATTTTATAAACTTTTTCAAAAGTATATTAAGTTAACTGTATGTTGCAATAGTGTTCCGTAGGTTCTGAAAAAGTGTATAAAGAACTGATTTGTGTGGTGTGAATGAATAAAAACTTCGTTAATAAACAATAGAAATTGAATCTTTCATTGTGTCAAGTTTTAATTACGATCTTAAAAAAAAATTGAATTGAAGATTATCGGCTGAAATATGACCATCTCATGACATGTACCTACGTTGCATGAGACTGTACGCAGTTATTTTCATCCTGGTGGAAAGAGTGAAAGAAGAAAACAAACTTAAGATGTTTCCTACAAGAAAACAATTAAATTGAGTGTATTTTAAATACACCCCAAATATAAAAATCTTGAAGTATTCACACATTTTTGGCGTCCCCCTGTATACAGGAGAAAGTACCTGCATGCTTAATCATAATGTTCAAGTTGAGTTCAGAATAAATAGAATGTATAATAACAATATTCAAGATTTTGCCAATTTCACAAGTATTTGCTAATTGAATTTATAATATTAGACATGGCCCACATACTTTCATTTCTGTGCAAATTGGGCAAGCTTTATTTTTCAAAATAATCGACGTGATTGTTTAGTGACTCGACTAATTAAATTTATTAAGTCGCTTTCTGCTAATCCACCTTTTTAAAAAACACATAATTATGTGTTACTATTTCTCACTTTTGCAACGATGCCAGTGTTTCCAGTTTCTTAAACTACGTTTCACTAAACGCCGTTTACAATTTGCACTTACGCTTTAAGCTCTGACCTAAACCGTATTCAAATTATAATTTATTTCATCTAAAAATTTTGAAAAGTTGTTAGATTTTGTAAGGTGGCTATAGAATTCAATAAATAAGAGTCAAAATTTGATGATACATACTTGACATAAACAATCGCCTTGATAAAAACAATGATTTAAACTTAAGCGTTTTGAAGATCTCGAGTTGCCAAAATTATGTTTTCATGTAATTCTCCAAATTGTTTAATTAAATGTAAAATCACTGTTCATCAAGTTACCTTAGAAAGTTTGAAGAAAGGTCACTATAGTTCCATTCATCATAATTGCAAAGAAAAGGCCAATTTTGTCAACCATGTTATGTTTTCTAACGAATCAACATTTCATTTTAAAGGACAAGTAAACCGACATGACTGTAGATATTGATCAAAATCCATAATCAACGGCAACAAAAAAAATCAACTTTTAGTGTGGAATTATTTATATATACAGGGTTGCTCATTAGTGCGTCAAAGTGCGATATCTCAGTAAATATGAAGTTTACAAGAAAATTCGTCCAACGAAAGTTTTTCACGTTTAAAAGGTCCACATTCTAAAATTACTTTCCAATATACAGGGTGCATCATAAACGTGTGGTAGTTACCAACTCTGGTTTTTTAAATGAAACCCCCCCTTTTTTTTGTTATTTTCAGATTGGCCGTTCAATTTTAATTTATGTTTGTTTCAACCGTTT